GGATATTACTGTTGATGTCAGATGGATTTGGCTCAAAGCAAATAACACTAAAAAGATGTTTACATGTATTTTGACTATGCAAAAGCATTTGATTGTTTGTTGCTGTTGTTGTTGTGTTTAGACCATAACAAATTATAGGTAACAGTGAGAAGAATGCGAATTCCAGAACATTTGATTATGCTCATCAGGAACCTGTACATAGACCAGGAAGCTGTAATTCGAACAGAACAAGGGATACTTCGTGGTTTAAAAATCAGCAAGGGAGTGCATCAGGGTTGTATCCTTTCACCATAACTTATTTAATCTGTACGCTGAACAAATAATCTGAGAAGGTGGACTATATGAAGAAGAGCGTGGCATCAGGATTGGAGAAAGACTCATTAACAACCTATGATACACAGATGACATAACTTTGCTTGCTTAAAGTAAGAATGACTTGAAGGATGACTTACTGATGACAATAAAAGACATCAAATCTGCAGTACGGATTACATCTCAACATAAAGAAAATGAAAATCCTCACAAGTGGACCAACAAGCCGCATTACAATAAATGGAGAAAAGTCTGAAGTTGTTAAAGATTTCCTATTACTTGATTCCACAATCAACACCAGTGCAAGCAGCAGTCAAGAAAGACATCAGACATTGTATTGCGCTGGGCAGATCTGCTGCAAAAGACCTCTTTCAGAGGCTGAAAAGCAAACATGTCTCCTTGAACACTAAGGTGAGCTTAACCTAACCCATAGTATTTTCAATTGTCTCATATGCATGTGAGAGCTGGACAATGAACAAGGAAGACTGAAGAGTTGATGCTTTTAAGTTGTGGTGTTAGTGAGGTATACTGAAAGTACCGTGGACTGCCAAAAGGACAAACAAATCTGTCCTGGAAGAAGCGCAGCTGGAACGCTCCTTGGAAGCGAGAATAGCTAGACTTCTTCTCACCTACTTTGGTTATGTTGTCAGAAGGGACCATTCCCTGGAGAAGGATGTCATGCTTGGCAAAGTGGAGGGTGAACGAAAAAGTGGAAGGCCCTCAACCAGGTAGAATGACACAGTGGCTGCAATGAAGGGTTCAAGTACAGCCAGGATTGTGAGGCTGGCACAGGACCAGGCAGTGTATTGTTCTGTTATCCATAGGATCACTATGAGTTAGAGCCGCCTCGATGGCACCTAACAACAATGCCAACAACAATGCTGTACAAGGAAGTACAATGGCTGTCATGAGGGAAAACACTGGTAAGACTGAGTTTCAAGGTGAACTAGCTGCTTTTTTGAAGGAGCATTATTTTTGCTCAAAAACAATGAGAGAAAACTAGTTATTCATTCTTTAGATATTTTCTCAGAAATGAACAAAGTGAGCTTTATCAATTAAAAACAAAACTGACAGTATTTTAGCCATTGATAGAGTTTTCTAGCAAACATTAGAATTCTGGAAAACCTGCATTCTTTGTAAAGAGCTTCCCAATACCTACTAAATTTTCTGATGAGATTGATGGTCATTTTAAAGAAGTTTATTTTTTGATATTGTATAATCAAATGTCTTAACTTTGAAAGATGCATGTAACTCAGGGAATTAATATTACTTTTCAAATAACCAAATCAGAACAAAATATAAAATAATTGTTTTTCACAAACATGTTAATGTTGATAGTGAATGGATTTGTTACTATCTTTATCTTTATTGAGTTAAATAAATTGATAAATTTTATCTATAGCTATGTCAAGGGGCCCTGGTGGTTCAGCACTCGGCTGCAGATTCAAACCCACCCACCAGTGGCTCTTTGGAGAAAGATGTGGCAGTCTGCTTTAGCAAAGATTACAGACTTGAAGATCCTATGGGGTGGTTCTACTCTGTCCTACAGAACTGAGTTTTTAGTTTTTTTATAGCTCTATCACAGAAAGAAAAGTTCCTTGGATATTCTTGATAATTGTTAAGACTTGAAAGAGGTCTCCAGGCAAAAAAGTTTGAGAACTGATATATACATAGATTTTGGAAGGTCACAAATGGAATAACTGGTTACATGGTCTTACACCATTTATTTTTGTATTTCCAACTAGGGTTGATTATTGTTTTAGAATGTCACAGAAATCACATTTACCTGACACTGACGGCGTAGAACAATGCAAGGATGGGCCAGTACATTTTCTGTAAAGAGACTATATAAAAATAATTACATATATAAATACATATACATACACACACTTAACAAAGCCATAGTTAATTTATAACATGTTTCCAAAATTAGTCTTGTCTGAAGAATCATGTATTAGTTTGTTTGCCATTCTTAGAAGTAAAAATACAAAGATTTTTTTAAAAGTCTAGACATGTTTGCAAAATATTCTACCAATAACAAAATTAATTATGAAACAAATTAAAGCCAGATCTGCAAACTCTTAAGCAAGGGAAACATACAACATTAGTGTCTAACTAACATACTATTAGTATAAAGATGAAACTGGATCTCTGCATGCTTAATGGGAGAAACTCCTTTCCCAAACATTTTAAATGCCACCTTTCATTTCTTTCAGAAGATGCCCATGGACAAAGTTCCTATAAGCAAAGCCATCTACTCTCCATGTACTCAATGGTTTTGATGTGCTGTGCATTGAGTTACAGGGTTTTTAGTGACTATGTTAACTGACCATTATTTTATGTATCAAATATTTCTTTTGAAAGCATCCCGCACAAATAATTATAGCCATAAGCTTAAGTTTCTAACAGTGACAAACATACATACACACACATTTACTTATATATAAATAATATATCAAACGAACAAAAGCCTTAAGTCTAAGTGAAGCTGAGGGAAAAAAAATTAATTTTAGCAGCAAGGAAAACTTTAATATGCAAACTTTGTTTCTATTGACATTAATATCCTCAAGTTTAATTCCACAAATGAGGTCTTTTTCTCTTGATTAAATGTAAGCCTAGCAGAATGCCAATGCTTCTGAAACTGATTTACTAAAGATCAGAATAATCAAGGCTGAAGTCTTCTTAAATAAAATATTGATAAGCATTAGAAATAGAAACAAAAAATACAGATCATCAGAAGCTGATTGTGAGTAAAACCTAGATTCCGTGCTGCTAAATATATTGTTAACATTCAAATGTTTATGAAGAAGGCTGAATACATGATTACTTTTTGGGGGGAAAGGAAAATAAGATTACATTTGATTTCATTCTTTGGATAAACCCATGGGAGTTGTTATAATATTTCTTACACAATTATTTTGTGGTTATAAAATTGAATGACTAGTCTCTACTCTTTCTGCAAAAAGAAAAAAAGTTAAAAACTTTAAATAATAATTTTTCTGCAAAATATTATTCAATATTTAATTTGTTGTCCTAATCAATCAACTTAAAGGAAACAATTCTGTTGTTGTTATGTGGTGTTGAGTCAGTCGACTCATAGCGACCCCATATACAACAGAATGAAACATTGCCCAGCCCTGTGTCACCCTCACAATAATTGCTATGTTTGAGTCCACTGTTGTAGCCACTTTATCAATCCTTCTTTTTAAGGATCTTTCTTTTTCTCTTACCCTCTTCTTTACCAGGCATGATATCCTTCTTCAGAGACTGGTCCTTCTTGATAACATGATCAAAGTATGTGAGATGAAGTCTCACCATCCTTGCTCCTAAGAGCATTCTGCTATACCTCTTCTAAAACACAGTTGTTCCTTTTTCTGGCAGGCTATGGTATATTCAGTATTTTTCACCAACACCATAAATGAAAGAAATTATTCTTTTTCCATCTTCCTTATTCACCATCCAGCTTTCACATGCATGAGGAGACTAAAAATGAAATAAACGGATTGGGCCAGATGACCCTTAGTCTGGAAGCACCACGGGAACCTGTCCACCAAGGGTGACCCTGCTGATATCTGAAATCATAATGGCATAGCTTCCAGCATCACAGCAATGCATAAGCCATCACATTATGACAAACTGACAAACAAGTAGGGGAAAGGAAGGAATACTAATCATTTACTATAAATTATATTAAAGAAAAAAAAAACTTTAAATAAAAACATCTTTACATAAAACATTACCTTGCAAGTCCAATACCGAATCCAGCAAATCTATTTAACTGTTCTAAAACAGAAGGAATAAAATTACTTATAAACAATATTTTATTGTCAAAATAATGAATTTCCTTTCTTTTAGTAACAGGCAGCTCATTTAAACTCCAGGTATAAAAGTAAAAATTCTTAAAAGGGCCAGGAAAGTCATATGAATTGTTTTAGGGCTTGTGGTAAGTTGAAAAGTACAGGCCTTCTAAAGAAACAATTGCTCCCTAGCTTCAATTCACTGTCATGTAGGATTGTAGGCCCAAGGTTTCTAAGCTATAATGTTTCTAAAAAGATATTCCATTTTATACCAAATCTTCCAATTTTTAAATATTGGTAACTGTTTTAAAAAGCATTAAAACCATATGTGGGCCAAATTAAACATGACTGTTGTTGTTGTTGTTATGTGCCATCGAGTCGGCCCTGACTCATAGCGACCCCTCCTTAGGTTTCAGAGGCGGTATCACTATGGAAGTAGATTGCCCAACCTTCCTTCCAAGGAGTGGCTGGCGGGTTTGAACCGCCAGCCTTCTGGTTAGCAGTCACGTGCCTTAGGCACTATGCTACTAGAGTGTAGGTAGAACTTAAAAGCTACCAGTTCTCAATTTTTGACATAGATATTAATTTAAACATTTTCATATGGAAGGCCCTGACTGATATTTAAACCAACAACTTTACCTCCCACATCATTGCTATTGGTGGAGAATATCTACATTAAACCAACAACCTACATTAAACCAGTAATTACAGGTAAAATGCTTCTAAATTATTAATATGAATAAACACTCGGGGAAATACACACAGGGAAATAAAACTTTCTTCTTCCCTATCACCCCAAGATTTAAACATTTTGAGTAGCTGTTTAATTCAGTCTCTGATAGGTTACTGGGTACTATATATACTACTGCTGATGGTATTTCTATAGTATCACTGGAAAAGTTTACAGCTGGAAACGTTCCTCTGCATTTCAAAATGAAACCACCTTTCTCTTTTACTAAACAACCCAAAATTAGCATGGTGAAATATCACAGCCCCCGGAGTCTAGACATTAAATTCCAGCTGTAACACCACAGTCATGAAGAATAATTCTTTCATTTTTTTTTCTCTGTTTCTGCTCTTTGAAATAAAATGAAACCTTCAATATTTTTTTTACAATCAGAACAAGGCTATATAAGTATGTCCCTGAGAAAACTATCTGATTCATCCTTGCCTTGACAAATAGACAAGATAGATACCCACTGCCATCAAGTAAATTCTGATTTATAGCAACCCTATAGAACAGAGCTGCCCATAGGGTTTCCAAGGGAGCTCTAGTGGCATAGTGCTTAAGGCATTTGACTGCTAACCAGAAGGCTGATGGTTTAAACCCACCAGCCACTCCTCAGAAGGAAGCCTAGACAATCTACTTCCATACAGATACTGCCTGGGAAACCCAAGGAAGGGTCACTATGAGTAAGTTTTGACTCTACGGCAGTGAGTTTGGTTTTTATAAGGTTTCTAATGCTGTAAATCTTTACAGAAGCAAACCACCCTCATCTTTCTCCTAGGAAGTGGCTTGTGGGTTCGAACTACGAACTTTTTGGTTAGTAGCTGAACATTTTAACTGTTGCGCCACCACAGCTTCTTATAAGCTAGAAGGAATGCTCTTTTTATCCAGGTAAGGTGTTTTCCTCCTTTTTGTGTGTACAGAAATATACCACTGGTATTTTCTGAAAAGTGTTAGGGAGATTACTATTGTTTCTCTCAGCTTCTATCCTCCTTGCAAAATTACACTCACCAGCCTCTTAACTCCTGCAAAACAAAACAAAAATTCTGGGTTTTATTAACAAGTTCCTCCTCACTACAACCATTAAAGCATAACATAAGAAGATAAAAACATAAGCTTTATAGCCTAAGAAGGTAACTGTGTAGCAACTGTACACACACCATGAATTAATTTATAACTTATAAAGGTCTCTGGTGTTGTTGTTATTTGCCTTCAAGCCGGCCCCGACTCATAGTGACCCCTCCTTGGGTTTCCAAGGCAGTATCACTAAGGAAGTAGGATTGCCCAACCTTCCTTCCGAGGAGTGGCTGGTGGGTTTGAACAGCCAATCTTCTGGTTAGCAGTCAAGTGTCTTAGGCACTATGCTACCAGAGCTCCTAGTATTCTAGAACTCCAGATAAAAGGAATAAAGCTAACTGTATTACACTGGCTAAGGCACTGTTCCTCCTCCACTCCTCATTTGCTTACTGGATGAGCTTTCAAGTCTATTCCTCCCATTAAACACAAATTGAGTAAATACTATCTCATTTGCAAGTCAAAATAAGGAAATGAGAATGGAGCTATCTAGAATATAGTTAGTATTTGATGATATAATTAACTTATTATTTTAGTAAGTCCAGGAGAATGGGAAATAGCAGGCATTACTTCTATCTTATGAATATAAGATGTTGAGAATATCTAGATCATGTGGTGTTGCAATTGAAACACAAGTTTTTCCAGGTCCCAAAAGATAGTAATTATTTCTTGATTCCAAAACCTTATCTTGAAATTGCATCAGTGTTTCTAACTCTTTAGTACAGTTTTTAGGGCAGGCGGAGGAGGAGGAAAATAGGAGAAGGAATAGTTTGGGGATCTAAAAAAAATATATTAATTAAAAAGGAAAAGACTACTATGTGCCCTATACTGTACCATCATTACTCCTAACTCCTCTAGCACTCAAAAAAATTCTGAATTATTCTTCTACCCTACTAATATGAGAAGTTACTTAAGAAAGTCGCTCAGCCTGTAAGTTGTAGAGCCATGTTTGAACCCAAGCCTACCTATAAGGTAAGCCTCTTGGCTTTCCAGAATAGAAAGCTTCAAGTAAAATAACAAATAAATGAAATGCAACTGTCAAAGTGAATCAGGTATTGTTCACACAATTCCCAGTAAATAGCAAATAAGTGAATTTCCTTCAATACCGACTGTACAACCCCTGGCTGAGGCAAGTATCTTTTTTGGAGGTGATCCCAGAGAAAATGTTTGTGTGAAGAAGAGGAAGCAGGACAGACGAGCAGAGGACGAAAGGAGGACAGAGGGTGGGGTCAGTCGTAAGCTGAGAAGGAAATAGAGGCGGGACCCTCCTTGCGGCTTCCGGGGTCTGCAGAGAGCAGGCCACAAGCTGCAGTTCAATGTCTACCCACCCCTTCCCGGCCCACACAGCCCTCACCGCTGTTCTGTCCCTGCACGCCGCTGCCGCTGCCGCTGGGAAAGGGTTCCTCCGTAGGTCCCTCGAGCGGGGTGGAGGCAGCAGGCGGGCCGTACGGTGGGCTCTTCTCGCCCCAGTGCAGGTTGCGACTACCCGGGATATCTGGGGGAGTGGTCACCCAGTGGCTCATGTCCGACGCGTAGCTGAAGGACCTTGCAGGAAAAGCACCGGCGCCTCCAAAACCTTGATCATCCCGGGAGCCACTTCGGTAGCCCAAGCCATCGAATCCTTCCGGGCGCCGCGGATGCATCGCTGCCGGGGCAGGAGGAGGCAAGCCTACGCAAGGCCCTCCACCACTGGGGCCACGGCGACCGGAGGCCACACAGCTTTCCTTCCTTGGTCCCTGCCGCGTCTGGGATATTCTGACAACCGGAAGTCACATTACAAACCCGGAAGTCGTGGGAACACGTGACCGTAGCCTTTTCCGGCCACAGTTGGAGGAACCCCGTGCTAACCCTAGAAATTTTGTCAACTTCAGTAAGGGTGTGGGAGGATGATTGAGATAATCGAGGTGGATAACGCATCAGTGGTGCTGGACCGCCGCGATCTTGGCCAGAAATTCCCTGCGGAGCTATTAGAGGTTAGAGTTGCAGGTGTTAGCAAATTTCCATCTACGGTTGTCTCCGGCATTTAGGGTTTTGGAAAGAATTTGGAGAAATTTGTTTGGGCCAGTGAACACATGCTACATACGACTGGGGCAAGAAAGTTGTTGTTATGTGCCATTGAGTCGACCGACTCATAGAGACCTCTCCTTGGATTTCCCAGGCAGTATCACTACAGAAGTAGATTGCCCAACCTTCCTTCTGAGGAGTGGCTGGTGGGTTGGAACCGCCAGCCTCCTGGTTAGTAGTCAAGTGCCTTAGGCATTACGCTAACAGAGCTCCTGGGACAAGGAGGTAGGAAAGTTCAAGTGAATGCCTCAGAAGAAAGAAGCCCTCCCCCCCCCCATAGGAATGAATACAGACTGCCCTCTGGGATTTAGAAATTAAGCATTTTGCTTTTTTACATCCACAAAACAAATAGTTTTCTATTTGTTTAAAAATAGTGCTATTTTTCCTTGTGCATCTTAATCATTCACACTCCCAGTGATAATCGTTCAAAATCGAGATCACTAGTTGAAAATTTTAGAGCACTTTTGTAGAGAGCGCCTACTACCTGTTTTCATCAGCTTCAGGGGCTCTTGGGGCGGAGTCGCTCTCCCTAGGTCTGACAGCCTTCATGGATTCCTTCTGTGTCCCTTCTTCCCATCGGAGCGACCAGGATTCTCAGGGCTTTCAAGAAAGAATCCTGACGCACTATTCTCAAATCTTCCAGAAGCGAACCTTAATTTAAAGTGATAGGCAACTTCGTTTTCCGCAGATTTACATTCTTAAACCTGATTGGGTTGTAACGGAGCTTGGACAAAGGTGTTGACTCTCGTAAGCTATACAGTATTACTCAAGAACTTGGGCAATCCTACTTCCGTAGTGATACTGCCTCGGAAGCCCAAGGAGGGGTCGCTATGAGTCGGGGCCGACTCGACGGCACATAACAACAACAACAACAATACCAAATTACTGGATGACTACCCACCACTCCTCGGAAGGAAGGATGGGCAATCTACTTCCGTAGTGATACTGCGTCAGAAACCCAAGGAGAGGTCACTATGAGTCTGGCCGGCTGGAGGGCACATAACAACAACAATACCAAAGCAGATACTGAGTACGACAATAAAAAACACTGCTTTGGCCCTTTGGAACAACGGTTCTACTGATGCGATTGGCTAAGGTCTTATACCTATTGTTTATTAAAAGAAGGCCCAAGTGTACGTGTGTGAGTACTTGTAATATAAATACAGTGGCATATCACAATTTCACACACACATCAGTGGAGAAAGAATGAATTATGAAGAAGAAGACAACTAGGTAGCCAGTTCAGGGGGAAATGCAGTAAGAATCCTACCTCACAGCTTACTCTCAAATTACAGCTGTAATGTGTTGTATTTTTCCATTATTTTATATTGGAATAAAGTAGGTGAATATTTTTCAGACAATGGATTGGAAAATTTTCTTAGTGATAACAAAGTCAAAAGCCATTTAGGGAAAAACTAATGAATTTGACCATATAGAATTTTAATTTATGTATGGTAAACAAAATAGGAAAAACATAGTAATCAAAGTCAAAAGGCAAGTCACAAACTTGGAAAATTACATTTTAACATATTTTTGACAAAGGGTCAGCAACTTTAATGCAAAAATAACTCTCACCAATGAATAAAGAAAAGGCAAATCAGTAGAAAAAATGGACAATGGATATGAAATGGTAATTCATAAAAAAAATGGAAATGGAAATATGATATCAAAAAATGTCCTCTAGTAATTCAAGAAAGATAATTTTAACAATGTTTAAAAGATGTACATTGTCATCTATGGTGAGAAGAAAGTACTCTCATTCATTTCTAGAGTGATATAAACCCTAACAACTTTTTGGTGGGGCAGTTTGGCAATATGTATCAAAAAACATAAAAGTTACCATATATTTTGACTTCGAAGTCTTTGGAAACAAATACTGGTTGCATATATTTACTTATTTTAATGTTCAAGGCATAATTGTTTATAATAGGAGAAAATGAAAAGAATCTCAGGAGTAAAAATTATTATCCATCAATTATTAATAAACAAATACTAAAATGTTACATCCATCCATTCCTTTAATTAAATATATTAAGTTCCTACCTTGTGACATGTACTGGTGTAGACAATGGGGATACAATGGTAAAATAAGCTAGATAAATACCTGCAATAGATGGAGCTTTTTTAGACTGGGTGGTCATGGAAGTCCCCCTTGAGGAAGTGACCTTTTAGCAGACACCTGAATGAAGTGAGGGAGTGAGCGATGAGAATATCTGAGGGAAATGTTTCCCAAACAGAACCAAGTATATGACTTGTG